TTTCGTTTTCGATCTTAAAAGTTTGAAAAGTTAGTTTTTTTTAAATACTTTCAAATTTTTTCCAATTTTAAGTAAAAATTCGAATAAAAATCGTGAAAATTATTAATGATGCGTCAATGTTAATATAAAAGTCAGAAGTGACAAAAATTTTCGTAACGGATTTATATTATTCAAAAATTATCGTCATTCTTTCCGACGAAAGAATTTTACTTGGTATAACCGTCTCTCAGAATACTTTTTCGCTCTGCCTTGCACATATTCACAAATTTTCAAAACGCAATTACGTTGCGTCGACTATTTTAAGAACCCTTAAACACTCGTTGGCTGAATTTTTACACAGCAAGATTTTTTCTTACTCACTCAGGACCGTAAGTAATGCGAGGCAATGCTAATCGACTGTTGTTATTGCGACGTCCTCTGAAAAAAGAGGTTCGGTGTAACGTGCCTATTACAGTTAGAACCCTAATAGCCCGAGGAAATCTGCTCGTAATTCCATAAAGGTACCCGCCTCGTAAAACTGCGAGAAATTCTCAACTGTTAATACAGTATCATCTGCGGACTCTGTAATAACGTAGCGCAATTGGCGGGATGTGAATTTTAAAAAGAGGGGACGCAAGAACTTCATCCGTATGCGAGGATAGAGGATTCTTCTTCTTCTGCTCTCTACTAAACACGACATAGATGGGCAAAATTTAATAGTTGAAGTTAATAAAGATACTTGGATGATTTATCGTTTAAAATGTGATAATAATAATAATAAGTGTAATCAATTTAATAGTTGAAGTTAACAAAGTTATTTGGATAATTTAAATGTAATAATAATACAAAATGTAATAATAATACAATTGTAGCGACAAACAACAAAGTCGAGGTTGTATGAGGAGAAGATCAACTATAATAACTAGGAATAAATATTATTCTAATTATTTTATATATTATTCTATTATTTTAATGAGTGATTGAAGTAATTTCTGTTCGAAATTTTTAACTAGTTACTTTTTCAACGGTAGAGGAGATACAATATTTGCAAATAAAATTTTATTTAAAATAGCTGGTTAACAGCAAGAACTCGTATAAGAAAATTTGAAAGTTTATTTAATTTGAAGTGCAGTTTAACACGATGGATATTTAAAAAATACGAAAATAATTGTAAGAAGAAAGATCGATTGTAAATTTATTAGAATGTTTTTAAATTGGAGCCTAATTACGATTTAATAAATAAATTTTACAGAAGAAAATTAGATCCAAGTTACCGTCTCAATTATAATTTTCTACAGAAATTAATCTTTTTAGATCTGTAATTTCTCTAATATCATAAATTTCGAAATCCGAAAAAATTCACGAGATATTGATAAAAATTTATTGGAGCGATATAAGAAGAAATAAATTCGATCTTAATTATTATTCTGTAAATAAATTTTACAGAAAAAAATTACGATAGAGGATCCAAGTTACCGTCTCAATTATAATTTTTTATCGAAAATTATTCTTAGATCTGTCATTTCTCTAACGTATCGACAATGTAACGTCATAAATTTCGAAATCCGATAAAATTCACGAGATGTCGATGAAAATTTATTGGGCGCCACGACGCTTTTAACCGCTATTATACATTTTCGAGATAAGAGGTTAATTCTACAGGTTGACAATGCGAGAAGGTATTCCGATATCGTACTACCGTCTGCATTATTCTATTCGACGAAACGCCATTGTCTAACGGAAGCGTATATCTATGCTGTCACCGTCACTCTTAGAAAGAATCACTCCTCCTCCCTTCGTTTCTCTACGAAGCAAAAATACGAACGAGGACACGGAAAACGATTGCGCGCGATAGAAAACGTGGAAAGATATGAGTAAAGGGGCAAGCATGCGATTGGTTGCGAATTGAATTGCCGCTTACGTTTTTTCAGCCAGGGATTATATACGGGATATTAAATTTCATAATATTATTCCGAGAAAATTCGGAAAGAATTTCATTTTTTAGATCGGAGATATCGAACGTCAATAAAAATAATTGAGCTTATAGAAGATAAAAAAAAATACGAAAGAGAAATAATCAAAATTACAATTACGTATTACGAAAGTTCCAACGAGATAAAGATCTATAAATCTAATTGTATCTCGAATTACTCGCTGTTCGAGAAATCTATTAAATACTTGGAAATAATTTGATGCAAATAACTTTTCTAAAAAAAAAAGAAAAAAAAGAAAAATGTACGTTTAAACGGAACCGTATAATCTTATAACACATCGATGCAACAAGTCATTCGAGAATAAATAATATTCCTATGATAAAATAGGTCACCCTATATAATAAAAATATCCTGACGTTCGACCGACATAACTGATCTTAACGATACACATAATTGCAGAACTTGTCGTTCGTTTACCGCTTATAGATTTCAACGTTTCTCCTGCGGTCGTCATGCAGGTTTAACGAGCGATTGATTATTTGTCAGACTGATCGACAGGGCAGAAAGTGACGAGGCGAAATTGTCCCGCACGCCACGCGTGCAATTTCTAACTCTGATCGAAAAGAAACGCTCTCGCCCGGATAAAAAACGGTGTTACATAGAGGGGAACGAAATCGTATCATTGTACGATGCCGTGCTGCCAGGCATGGTAAATCTCTCATGGTCCGTAGAACTCGAAGAAATCATTACACTGGGGCGCAATATATTGTTGCTAATATAGCGCAACATATTCTTTTGAGCTTCGCTCCACGTGTATTGGGTATACCTCGAATTAGATGGTGATCTTGACGACGAGTTTAGAGCTTCCCTATTGAAAGTTGAAAGGTTTCTTCTTTGGGCATCAGAAGCCCAAAAAAACGCGAATTGTTTAAAACGTTCTCATTTAATTAATATTTTCGTTATCCCATTTTATACAAGTATTGATCGAATTTAATTGGAATAGTTGACAAAAAAAAAATATTAATTTTGAATAATTTGTATTGAAATTAATTTTAAATTGGGATATCCGTATTTGATATTTTATATATATTTATTATAAATGTTTAAAATGTAATACGATGTTAAAAGACGTGTAAATTAATTTAAATAATAACCGAAATAAATGTATAATTAAGTTTGAATTTTCGGTAACTATGCTGCTATCTATCGGTTCATAGATAAATTAATGCAAATAATTACGATTAAAATCGACAGATGTCGCAAGAATGTCCATCGATGGTTGATTCCAAACGTAAAATTATAAAGTACTAATATAATAACGTATAAACGATTATGCATTAATGTAATAATGTAAAAATTGTATAAAAATTCGAAACTATTCTTTCAAGAAGTACGTATCGCTTTTCGAAGTAGAAAAGATCGAAGGAATTCAATCGATTGTAATATACGCGAATATACGAAAGATGATAATTTAAAAATTGTGAAATATTTAAGAAAAAGCATAGAATTTAATTTAATTTCAGGTATAAAAATCACGTTGGAGTTCGTTGCGGCAGGGTTGGGGTTTCTATGCGGCATGTGCCTTGCTTTGAGAAATGCAATGCCCTTCGAAATCCCAAAAATGTCCAACGCTTATCAACATTACGAGAAATATTACGAACTATACGATGAAAATTCATTTCGTAAATTCAACGGAAATTTTACACTCGCAATAGATATTAAAATATTATCTGCCTCAAATATTACGAGATTGTTCGTATGTTTATTACATTCTTCGAATACATATGAAATGGAATTAGAACATCGTCGCATGGTCAATCCAAACAAAAACAAAAAAAATGTGAAAAATATGACTCACCGATTTGAAGTCCTTGTATAAACGTAACCGCGGGAATGCTATGGTGCTTCTGCGCAATGGCGTCGTATCGATATTTTCGCTAGCTTGATCCTCGGAATTCCGAAAGTTCAAGATTCTTCTTCGCATCTTGAATAACGATTTTTCTCATACAATACGAACTCAATTTCGAATTTAAGATATATCTCATACCCGAAAAGAATCAAAATGGAATAATTTTTTCGCGACAACAATCGAATCGACGCAAAAGATACCGAATTGTTGAAGTAATTACGTAAATACGCTTTTCAAATATGTATCGAATTCATCGTAATCAATGATATCACATCGTTCACTGGTAAATTATCACTTAAACACGAAATGCACAACGATATTCGACACATACGTTTATATATCCGTTAATATCGAACGAAAACCATTCCACGATACGAAATTTATAAATTTTCGCGGAGAGAAATATTCGCGTACCGATTCACACGCGGAACCATGTTCGACTAAATAGAATTTGACAACGTTCATCGATACGACGCACGAGGTCGCGCTCGTATTTGAAAACATCAACAATGTGCTCGCGGTCGATTAGAATATATAAATTCGTGAATTTATCTTATAATATTATCGTTAAATTAAGACGGAAGAAAATAAGCGCGTTTATTACGTTTTATAGGATTTTTAATATTATTCGTAATGTGTGTGTGTATTAATAATAAATAAACTGCAGAGATGTACTGCATTTATTTAATTTAAATATACAAAAATGTACATGTGTAAATGTAAATAAATTACATCCACAATTCGATTCGATTTATTATATGTATATTCCTCTTAATACTTTTTTTTTTTTAATTTTTATGTAATTAGCGATAAATTAACGAATTTCTCACGTTATCCATGGTTCATTAATACGTTTACATGTCTCCATCACTCAAGAATTTTAATAAACTAATAAAAAGATTAAAAATTCTCTTCAAGATTTAATTATTTGATTTTATTCAAACGATTTGCATGGAATTCAAACATTTATTTAAATTTCTCGTACATATACACGATAATAATATTAAATGCTATTTTTCACTGTTTCAAGAAACTTGAACGAAACGTCCACCTAAATCGCCATATATAAAATCAAATATTTAAATCTCGGAAAAAATATAATTTTTAATAATTTTATTAATTTACGAGTGATAGAGACGTAAATGAATGTTAATGAATAGCGTACACGTGAAAAATTCGTAAATCACTCGCGTAGACTTTTTTTTTAATCCATCGTTAATTCTATAAAAGTTATAAAAAAAAAAAAAAACATAAAAACGATAATATCTTAATAAATTAACGATATCTTGCGAGAAGGAAATAATTTGCATTATTAATTACTTGTATTTCTCGACAGTGCATGATATATATGTACGATTTGCGAAAAACGTTTAACTTAATTAGAGTCTTAATTAGATTCTTTAGAAAATATATTTCTGTCTTATTATTATAATTGATTTTTTTTTAATCTTGAAACGACAGGAAATGAAGAGATGGGAGATCAAGCATGAATAATACAAGATAGAATTTTAGATCAACTTGCATCAAGTGTTTTATTCGTACGAATCCATTTCAATCGTTATATCTGAATCAATAGACTCAACTGTACGTTGCCTACTGTTTTGTATAAGAAAAATATTTCGTCAACTCGTGTCGTTAATATTCGAGAATATTAGTTAACAATATAAAGCGGTGTTCCGATGTTAAAAAATTTAATGCCTATTCAACGATATATACGCGACCACGCGTATATATAATTATTATTCACAGATCGATACATTTGTACTTCTATAAATTGCGCTCGACCGCTCCGTGAAAAATCTTTGATTTTCCACGTGCACGAAATATATAAAAATGTTAATCAGAGGATACAATCGATCTCCGAGAAATAACGAGAAATCAACATCATCAACATCATCGCTGATTCACAACAACAATTATTTCTCTAATCTTCTCAAAGCGATTCAATTTTTCATCCTTCGAAAAGCAACGAAAATAATAGCTAACGTGAAAATTATCTATCCCGTCTCGAAAGCGTTTTTTTGGCGTTTTCTAAGTGCGTTAAAAAAATAGATAAATAAATAAATAAATAAATAAATAAAAAAAAAAAGAAAGAAAGAAATGATCACCTGGAATTTTTCTTTGATTCAATTTGTTTGATATTACAAAAGAAAGAAGAAGAAAAAAAAAAATGATACAATAAAATATCGTCTATATTTCAATATATCTTCAACTTGTTTACCGTCACTCCAGAGGACGATATGTTACAATTCGATTGCTCCCTTTCGGGCAAACTTATTCCCAGGAATCAGGTTCGACAAAGGGTTTCTGTTTCGATCTTTGCGCATTCTCTGCATCCGCATAGTTCCTCCGCTTCCGGCGTCGTTTCCCTGCGCACATAACAAGAACACGGTTTATGCGCAATGACATAACCCTTCGAGTTTGTTAGTTGTTGAAATTAACAGTTTTATCTTGATTATCAAGTGAGCGATCGATAAGCGATGTACAGTAACGTTTGTTGAGACGGGGAGAGAGGAGAAAGAGAGAGAGAGGGAAAGAAAAAAAAAAAAA